CTAAAACACAAGTCGACGGAGAGATTTGAGGAAGAAACCCCAATTCAATGTTTTTTAATTTTGTTAATTCACAAGAAAAAGTGACATTTAATTTTTCATTAAGAAAAAAACCTGTTAATTTAATTTAATAAGATTTGGACTTGTTTTTTTAAAAAGAATTACGTAAAATTAGGCCTATTTTATTAATTCTCCACTAGATTTTAACATGCGGTACACCGCGGGATGATTTAATTTTAAAGTTAATATAAAAATATTTTGTAAATTGTATCTCCTTATAACATATTTATTTATATTATAGTTTAGAATTGTTATTAAGTAACGGTATACCACGAGTCCACGAGACAATTATTAATAAACTGAAGATTTAACCCATATTAAAGCGGTATATAAATATTGATTCATATTCGTTCTACCATATAAATCCTTTCCGAAATATAACCCGTTCCGTAATATCTTAACCCGTCCCCTGATTTGTTTTTATTTTAAAATTTAATAATTATTTATTATATATAAAAGTTTACAAATCATATCACCCTCTAAGACCACGGGACATTATACCACGGGACAATTTTTGGTTTTATACAATCTTTTCTAAATGAGACTGATTTAATATGTCTAATATTTGTGGTATTAAAAAAAAGGGAATTAATCCGTATTGAAGCGGCGGATTAATGATATTTTAATCTTTTTATTATTGTTGATTCAAAAACCTGTCCCGCCAAACCCGTCTGACCAAAAAACTCATTTATTTTATTAATTTTCTTATTTGTGATATGATTCTGAATCATTGTCTAAATATTTTAATCGATGTTGAACGTTGAACACACATTTTCGTCAATTGGATAATATATGTCCGTTTTTAAAATTTTGAATCACATTATATGCAGAAAAAATTGATTTTTTATTTTATTTTATGTATTATATGACGATTCAAAACAATTAAAAACAAATCAAACAAAGATGATAGGAGAATCATAATTATAAATCTTAATCAAATCTTCTAATTATCTAAATTATTAAATATGGAATATCCGGTGTATGAGTTGGGTTAAATATAACCCGACCCAACAAATTTTTTGTGAAAGAATTTTAAAAACGGGTCGGGTATCCGATATACCCGAAAATATTTTTATCCACCCGTCACTAAAATGTTGCAAAAATACTAGTATAGATGTTGAAACTTGGAAAATTGGAAACATGTTTTCAAAAATAGGATACTGGATGGCCATGGACATGATGTGATTCGGCCCATAGTCTTATTCTTTCTTAAAATTAAAACAAATTTTGGTCCGTATAAATTCAAACAATGTGTATGTCAAAACAAGACTAGGCCAAATCTGTCATTTTTGCTATATTTTCTCTAAAAGTTAACTTACACATGATTACAGGAATATACGTAAATTCTATATAAAAAAAAAAAGACATTTAAATTTAGAATGATGTCCCACGATTGCATGGTTCGGGGTCGGATTAGACAACATTGTTACATCGTAACATCCCTACTCATTGCAAGGTTTCAAACCAGTGGTAGGTTATTCTTAAAATTTAAAGTGGATCATAATATGATAAGGGAAAATTCCCGAAAAAAACTCCAACTATTTAATATTTTCCATCGATTGGTTTATTGACGTGTCCCACTATTTTTGTTTTTTAAGATTTTTTTCTATGAAATTATTAATTATACTTTCTTGAAAATGGAACAAGTGAAAAATGACTAATTTCTTATTTTTGTAAAAGAACTAATAGTGACATTACTTTATGCTTTTTACATGTTCTCTACAAATCATGTGTGACTTAGTGGACATAGCGTAAGGATTTCGTGGAAATATTCAATTTCTTATAAATGAAATTATAGAATAAAATTAATTTAAAAAAAAAAAAAGGAATGGCCAATTGAAACTAGACAAAGAGGCAGAAAAATTAAAGAGATTGGTCGTGGACTTGGGGTCCCTCGTACGCACTCTTGAGTCTTGACCTTTGATTGGTTTTGCACTCTAGATTAATTATTGTACTATATAATCATTCAGTGAATAAAAAGTGTTTTCATATTATTACCCTTCAATGATTGTAACCGGAGCAGTCGAATGTGGAGGATAATTGGTGGCAATCTAATCAGAGGTACAAGATCTCCCACTTAAAACAAAATGTTACAAGAATTCTTAAACCTTTCATTTGTTATTTATGCAAGAATTCTTAAACCAAAAATAGGCACCAAAGAAAGGGTGCTAACTTTAGTTTATGTCTGTTTTTTTCATTTAGTTTGTAAATCTTCTTAAATCATTGCCCTTTTGTTAGTCAAAATCTGTCATTTAAAACAAAAATATATTGCTGCTAAAAATAAAAACATGGTTGGGATTTTCTTATGTTATTTATGCAAATATTACGTATAATATTATCTGGAGATGATCACTATTTAATATCCAATTTCTCCTAATGCGGTAATTCACTTAGTTGTATACCAAGAAATAGGTTATATCATAAGTTTGAAGCTAGATAGCAAGAACTATTTATCCGTTTTGATTCATGATCAATATAATTTGTGATCGTCTGCTTCAAAACTAAGATAAAAAAAAATTAATACTGTGATATCCGTAGTTTAGTTGGTGTACTAGTTATTTATAAAGAAAATAAAAAAATTCAATACTAAGAAACTCTAATATCTGGTTTATTAGAGAATTTTCAATATAATATCTAGTTTAGTTGGTGTACTAATTGCCAATAGGGATGGAACTAATTAACATGCTTTAAATGTTAGTTTGATAATTTTTTTTATTACATTTTTAAATCGACAAGGCCCGATCCATAACCAATTCCTATTACGCGGAGTAACACATAGACTCAACCACTTGATCCTAGTCTCATAATTTTGGATTTAAAAACTTCATATGATTTAGTGTTTTTACCATAGGAAATAGACAATGATATATTAATAAATATATCAACTAAGATCCGTAATTAGAGTCAAAGATTCTCTTAAGAATATATATAATTTCGATGTTTTGGATATGAGCAGTGATAAGAAAATGTTAGTGTGTTAACCCTTAATCAGCTATAATGTTACCTAGGGGAATACCAAAAATGAAGTTAGGGGATTTCCCCTCTCGACCAGACGAAGGAGATAGGAATGGAATTCTGCCTTGACTTGGTTGGCCTTTCACCCCTAGCCACAAGTCAGACCTTTCTCTTCGTCTCAGGTCGATAGATCTTCTCATTTCGCTCATGTATCTTACAAAAGGAAAAAAGATCTCTGAGAGCTGTTCTTGATCCCGAAAATCTTGTACTCAGAGTCACGGATAAGATCTTTGGGTCGGTATTTCTTCCTTAAGATCAAAGACCCTTAAAATAAGATACTTTAGTTATTTAAGTAGATTTCTCATTTCTTTTGGTATTAAATTAATTATTAATACCAAAAGCACTCGATTATCATTACTTTTTTGATTTTCTTGAATCCACGTTAATCCAATGGCATTGCAGTAAATATATTTGGTGTCAGTTTCTTACTTTCTTTATCTTCCAATATTAAAATAATCAAGGAAAAAAACAATGCAATATATAAAGACAAGTAGAAAGACAAAGACTCTCTCTCCCCATTTTTAGCCATGGAAGTTTAATCAAGATCTCCCTAAAGATAAATCAAACTCAAAAGCTCTATAAGGTTGATGATTCCAACATTGGGGAGCTTGAGCTGAGCTTCCATGGAAGCTTCTAGCTAGGTGGGCCAAAGGGTTTCACCAAATAGCTTAGAAATACAAAAATGTTCACTCCCTGCACTTAATTAACCGGTCATGATTGTGATGTTTCTTTAAAACGTGATTCTTTAAACCGTTCCGGCTAAAGTGGTGGGGTTGAACCGGCAAGTCATCGAACGGCGGATGGGCTCGATCCTCTTCGAACCTACCAAGGTCTTATATCGGCTCCTTCTCTACTATCTAGGGTTTTGTTTTTTTTCTTTATTAATTTTCCATTGATGTTAATGTTGTTGTTTTGTCAATTCGGTACGTTGTGTTGATTTATGGAATTTAAGGAGTTACGATTTTTGAATTTGTTTAAACGTATTCATATTTAATTCATGAATGTGATGTCATACATATAAATTTAGAAACAAAAAGCATTTAAAATTATTTAAAATTTTATATAGTAAAAATTGATCTAAAGAGTTTAATTAGTTACTTATTTACTTGATTTGTTACATGAGAAACATAGAACGTTTAAAAAAAGAAAAAAGTTAAGTAAGAAATATAGGCTGCAAATGGTTGACACAAAATACCAAGTTCAACTAATTTTTTACCATTTAAGATGAAAAAGTTGAGAAAAAGATTCAGCCCATTCAACTTAAAAACCTCAAAAATTGAACAAATTCTATAGCAAAAATGTTTCTCATTCAATTACAATTTTGTAGATGAATGGATTGAATGAGTTTCAACCCAATATTTTTCAACTTAATATATTCAACCCATTCAATTTTAAACAACCATTTGTAGTCAGTATAAAAGGAAACAAGAAAAGAGAGAGGATAATTTAGGCTATTCCAATCATATAGCTTATAAAATTAGCTAAAACATTTCTGTTTCACCATTTGGTTGAAAATTCAAATTGATATTTAATTAGTTACCTATGTAGCTGATGTGAAATGAGAAACATAGATCGTGGAAAAAAAAAATTATAAGCTAAAAATCTAAATTGTGTCAGCAGTGGGGTTTGAACCCACGCCCTCGTAAGAGGACCAGAACTTAAGTCTGGCGCCTTAGACCACTCGGCCATACTGACTTTTTGATTATATTACCCATTACAAATATATATCTACTAAAATATACAAAATCCACATATATAGTTCTTTAAAACGAGAAAAAATAAATTCTATATTGTCAGAAGTGGGGTTGAACCCACGCCCTCTTACGAGGACCAGAACTTGAGTCTGGCGCCTTAGACCACTCGGCCATCCTGACTTGTATATTTACATGACATATTATGAATATCTATCATCAACAAAACTAAGTCGATACAAGAAAACATGTCAAATCTTTGATCATCGAACTGTACAAACCCAAGGAAATCATCAATACATTAAAAGTTTAGAGCAAGAGAACGACTTCAATCAGTGTCCTAAAGCCACAAACATCTCCAAAACAAAGAAGCAAAGTTGGTAAGTAAAATTCGAGTTGAGATATAAACACATAACTTTTAGATTACCAATTCACAACACAACACAAAAACCCACGTGTTTAAAAACCAGAGCATTGTGGACATTTTGCACTCCAAAGAAAACCCACAAAAAAAAAAAAAAAACTAATCCTTCTTTTTGTCCTTCAAAGGTCCCCTTGGGATTTTGCTCAATACCTTTGCGTCAAACACAGCGTATTGCTTCTTCAACTCAGCCATTGCTTTCTCACCGTATGCGTCTACTTTGTCTTCGTATTTGTCGTAGAAAAGAGGAACAGTGAAGAGTAGAACCAGAGCTGGACCAAATCAAGAACCATATATCCATTCATCAGCATTTTCAGAATAAGAGAGAATAAAGAAGTAAAACACTATTAGCAACAGTAAGTGTTACCTATGTATGCCAATGTCAAGAAACTACAGCAGCCGCCCAAGATTGATAAAACCCACAATCCGGCAATAGCCTAATTCAATCAAACAGTACAATTATTATCAAACTTATAAGATGAGTCATTGAGTCCTGGACACTGGACAATTTAAACTTACAGAGAGGAATTTCTTGAGATCCCTTCCAGATGCAATCTCACGAAGAGAAGAGAATCCACAGTTGATTTCGATTCTAAGACCCGAAACAAGCTGAAGAAGAGGTTCTTCAGGGATATGTACTTCAGGAATCTTTGGTGGAGACCTGAAAAGAGAATGGAATTAGCTTGACAATCTTGACCTGTTTCATAGGATTAATCAACAACTTACTTGTGAATGAACATAGTGGCATTAGACCATAGAAACAACACAGCAAGCGCAACGATCATAACGTGACATAGCAGAGTAAGAAGATGATACTCCATCAATTCAAATAGCACCCATGCTACTGTAGCACCACCAAATACACCACCTGACATCTTCTTGTTCTTCCACATAAATATATCCGCCGCTGCAATTAACAAGAAGATCACCAAATTAGGGTTTACAAATCAAAACTACAAGTATCTCACAAGATCATGATACACAGTTCCATCAGAGTAAACATCATTAAATCAACCATCATGTTCACCAAATCCCTAAAACAAAGTATCAAACTATAACTATCGACAAAATTCAAATAGATCAAGCCAACGCAAACAAATTCGTACAAGAGAAACTAAGGAAAACGAAAGGAGATCGGAGTAAACATACGTTTTCCGCCGCCGAGAACCTTATGCACAGGTCTCTCTCTACCAAACAAACGATAAACCTTCGATTTCAAAGACTTCGGAGACGGAGAAGATTTCTTCTCGTTCTCATCATCATCTGATGAAGACGACGACGAAGAATCACCTTTGTGATGAATCTTCTCCGATATCTTCTCCATCAACGATTCCCTCTCTATAACTTCCACCGATGGATCCAAATTAGGTGAAGATTCTTCATGCTTATGTTCATCCGCCATTGTTACCAATCTTTAGCTTTTCCGATTCAAGAGAAAGAAGACTGTTCTAGGCTTCTAGCGTTTTCGTTACACCTCTGAAAAGAAAGATCTCGAAGGAACCTAAAATAGGAGAAGGAAATTTATAATTAATCTGAGCCGTTGAATTTATCTGTTTGATCTGAGCCGTTGGTTGCTTCGGATCCAAACCTGCTGCTTCCTTAACTAGAGCGACGCTTAGGGAAAAGATAAATGACATGGGGACATATAAAACGTGTTTTCATAGGACCGAGATTTTAACGCCGTTATAGTTAACGGCTTTTTATGCTACGTGTATTTAACGGCTCTGTTATTAAAATGGCTATTAATTTTTCTGGTTAGTGTTTAGGTTTAGGTGTCACGCGGCTGGACTACGAAATGGTCGAACTGGTAATTATGTGACACGTGGTGAAATAAGAGCGGTTTGTTTTAGTGACTTGCACTTTGGGTTTGTATCAAAAGACAATGATAATTAAATTATTATATCTTGAGATTAAATCAAAATATTATAGTAGGAACCGTCTTAATTTGTTTATTAAAGAAGTTTTTAAAAAAGAATGTTCTAGAAAAAGCATTTAATTTGACAGCGAGGTGTACAATTTGACCGCGTTAGTTCGAGTTGTAATATGGGCCCAATGAGCTATACAATGATGAAGCCCAGTTACTTACTTTCTCATGTACAAGAAAGCAAGAAAAAAAAACATTGGTAGAATTTTTACTAGGCCTGGGAGTTCGGTGAAATCGGGTTATTCGGGTCGGGTTATTCGGTTTTGGAGAAATTCGGTTTTTAAAAAATCTTTCCGAATTGAACCGAAATTAATTTCGGTTCGGATCAATCGGTACTCGGGTTATTCGGGTCGGTTATAGGGTTTAAAATTAATTCCGAAATTAAACCGATAGTTTTCTATTTCGGTTAATTTGAACCGAATTACAAAAAAAAGGGATATTGGGCTGAAAACAAAGCCCAACTCATTACATAATCAAAATGCATTAACAAATTTACAAACCCAATTAATATATTTACAAGGCCCAACCCATTAAAAATTAGGGTTTTCACGAGGCAGCCACATCGACGGCAAGGGCGAGGCAACGACGGCGAGGGCGAGGCAGCGACGGCGAGGCAGCCACGATGACGATGATGTCAGATCTTTACGTCTGATAAAGCTTGTTATTTGCCAACTGCAAGAAAATCTTCTACCAACAAGATCTATTAGATATCATCATCATAACCACATAAAAGTAAAAAAAAATTGAAAATCCAACTAAGAGTGCTCAGATCTAAAGAGTAACCAATGAATCCAGCCGTGAGTTTGGTGATGAAAACGAGTTTAGCGAGTAAACAACAAAGAATCAGAAGAGAAAAAAGAGAAAAAGAGCTTATCGCAAAAAAAATTGTGGTTACGGGTGAAGAAAGAAGAAGAGCTAACAACAATTGATGAAGAAAAAGAAACGTGGTGCTGATAATGGCTTAGGTTGGAGAAGAAGATGAACTCGGCTTTAGTTTTGATAGAGGCAGAGGCGCAGAGGCGCAGAAGAAAATGAAACCAAATTAGGGTAAATGACTCAATATCCTTATATATGGCTGCAGATTCTCGGTTCTAGGTAAACCGATCGGTTCCGATTACCGAACCGACCCGAACCGAAATCCGATTACCCAAATTAATTTCGCCGGTCGGTTAAAAAGAAGCTGTTCGGTTTATGCCGATAACCGAAAATGTCGGTTTGATCGGGTCGGTTTGATCGGTTTGATCCGAACTCCCAGGCCTAATTTTTACCTTCTTCTTTGAAGACAAATTTGTAAGGGTAGAGAAGCAAAAAGAGTTTGACCAAAAAAAAAAAAAAAAAAAAAAGAGAAGCAAAAAGATATTCCATGGAGTGTGAGAAGCTTTTGAGAACGAATTTGCCTTTGTGTAGTAAGTTATAATTATTTAAATTTGTGGAATAAAATAGCTCAAAGATATGCCCAATAAGTGCAAATTATTTAAATTTGACAACAAAAAAAGAGAAATGATTCTCTTTTTTACTCCTTTTCACTGTTTTTTTTTTTCTTTCTTCACAAGCTTATTTACTGTGATTTTTGATATTTAACAGTCCTAGTCTAGATGAAATGGTTAAAAGTTGGTATTATGATACACAAAACGAAAAAGAAAACACAACAAGAAGGATATATATGAACATGAACATTGATTCATTCATTCAAAAACCATAATCGTGGGGGATTACTATTTTTTTACCGTTAGAACTGTTCTTTGTGGAACTCGAACCTGGAAATTCCCGTCTGGTTAAATTCATGGCAGAGTGTAGAAAGTTCCTTCCCCAAACTCGGTACTCCACAATAGAACACTCCTAATCAAAACAAATTCTTTAGACAAGGCAAATACCGACTCGATTATAATTTCTTTGAGTTGATTCTTGTGTAACGTACCAATTCTTGCGTTCCTATGTTTGGTGCTAATCTTTGATAAAACTTTCTTCCATTTTGGCCTCCCAAAATGTGTCCTTACCTAAAATAACCAAAAGTTGTATACAAGATCAGAAATCAATTGTTGTTTGTATAAGATCATAAATGTAATCGTTAAAGATTATTAATTGCCTTGGTTCCAGAAAATATGTCGACGCCATTTTTAGCGTGGTTTAGCGTTTGGATCATGGTGAGAAGATTGGATCGAGTATCTCCTTCTTCGTAGACGCTAGTCAAGTAGTTGTGCATCTCAATAACACCCTTTTATTTGTTCACAAAGACAAATATGTCAGTGACTAACTTCAATCTTTTGAATTTACATGAATAAGTGTATATTACCTTTCTATCTGAATCAGCAATTTCGTTCATGATATCTTTGAACCAATCGAACGAGCCTTGTTCTCGTGTTACCCAATAAAAGTAAGCGTTCTTAGTATTCAACGTCTTCCGTTGAGTTTGGGGAATCCGACTCCGAGCTTCCGAGTTTAAGCAACTGAAACTGTGATCAGATGAGATGTTGCTGTTACTACAACTACCTGAGAGGCATTCCTGAAAATATAACATAACACAAAAAAAAGTTAGTTAAGAGTCTGTTACTCAACAACAGGGATTTTTAAAGTTTATACTCACAGCTTGTTCTTGTTGCTTAACAATGGTGTTGAGTAGATCTCTCAAAATGCTAACGAAAGGTGTTGCGCCGATTCCAAGGCCAACGAGTAGTACCACATCATACTTCCAATGGTCTTGCGCTGGAGCGCCATAAGGTCCATCTATCAACAGCTCTGGAAAACTAAATTACAAGAGATAATATCAAAATTCACATTCTGAGAATGCAAGTTAATAGTATATGGAAATCTATAAAATGTATGTACCTTCTTTGGTTTGGTCCGTCTGCTCTGAGAAGTCCGCTTTTTCCAGCTTCAGGGGCTTGACATACCACTGAGAATGCCTTCTTAATCCCTTCTGTCCAATCACCACGCTGGCGAATGTGAATGCTGAGATAATCATCTCCAGGGGAAGACGTAATAGAAAATGGATGCCTGGAGATGGAGTTTAGGACCAAGAATCTTTAAGTTACTCTTTGTGGTGTCAAAGAACAGAGTTTGTATATATTCTTAGATTGCAAAATAAGCTATTAGGCTTGTGTTGGCTCACTATAAAAACACTCACCACTCAAATTTTGACACTGCAGGACACTGAACAAATACATATTGTCCGCTCTTGTAATCAAATGATGTAGGCTTAGTCATGCGTAGTACAACAACGTTTCCGGGATAAATTACAACCTAAGACCAAATCATTTGAATTGATATATAAAGATAGCGGAAGATGATTGACAATGTGTCTTTCCATGTGATTCAGTTCAAAATGTAATTGTAGTGAGACTTTACCTTGCAGATTTCAACGGTGTAAAGCCTGGAACGAAAAAATCTAAGGATCCTTTCACCAATATAGAGTAAAACTGGTACAGCAAGATACATCCATATCTGAAGGAGGCAGTATATGTTATTGTTTTTACAGAAAATTATGTAAGAATGCAAAAAGTAATGGTAAAAAGTTTATGGAATTTACCGTTTTGCGGTACCATTTATGCTCGAGATAGAGGGAAACACCGTGGATGACTAAAAGGACGTAAACAGTTAGAAGTAAGTGATGTGAATACCAGAAGGCATTATATCCGGTTAGTTTGTCAAATGGCTTTGGCAACTTAGTAAGGTTCCGCCTGCATCTTCGACTGGCTAATATGAATGCAATTACCATAAAAGCAACCATTATAAAACCAGTGATTCCTACAGGACTATTCACCAAGTCAAAGTATGTGGGTCTGGTAATACCAAAGTACTTAACCAAGTATCTTTTGTAATCAGTCTCAGTAGATGTTAGAATCCTCGGGAAGTCACAAGCGAGGTGGCTGGATGCATGAAGAAGCATTGCAATAATGATTGCTACAGAGATCGTCTGCGCTTAAGCAAAAACCGGAAAGTAAGATTCAGCTGAAACATATTGTCTTTCATAAGAAAGGCAAGACAAAATGGTTTTTGATTAACCTTGTGAAAATTAATGCAGTCATCGAAAGGCACTGAGTGGCACAAAGCGGTGGATCTGAGATAGGTGATGGTATTTCTACAGACCGGCAAAAGGATAAGAGCCATATTGAATTTCAGTGTCTCAGCTGCACCTTTCGCCATGACAAGGCAGTAACCCATTACATGGAATGCGTCTTTGCGTTTGTACTGATAGCATTTCCACATAAACAACCAGCCCATGATCACTAACCACAATGTCAAAACCCAAATCCTCTTCCAATTGTCTTGCAAAGAGTAAAGCAAGTTCCTACTTATTCCCCATCTTGTATCCTTTAGGTTTTGGCTTAAGGCTCGGCTCGTCTGACTGAACGGTTGGCTGTAACTATGAGATATGTCCTTCTCTAGTAGTAGCATCTCTAGGTCCTTTAACTGCATCATTCCAAATCCATAACAAAGACAACATATTAGAATGTTGTTTCAGTCTCAAGCAGGAGAAAAATATTCAAACAAGTGGGCACTCTCTCTGACAATATTTGTTACTATAACTGAAACGCCACTATACCACTAGAAATTATTTTGAGAACAATATTTGTTCAAGCTCTATATGTGGACCTCTACTTTTTTTGTCTTCGTCAACCTTTTCTTATATTAATTCCATACAAAAAGAAACTTGCATAGCACATAACTTTAAGCTCATTGGTTTTTGACTCGGTCAAATGTCTCTATCATCAGAGTACTTGGAAGGTAAGAGAGCTCAACGTCATCAATTACTAAGGTCAAACTTAACAAAGAACCCTTCTACTCTCTCTCATAGAAAGAGACTGATCTACAAGATTGTGATATTACTTAAAAAGTGATGGAACCACCTCTATGTACTGAGAATAGAGCCCATCCGGTGCAAGTTCTTCCATGATCAGTGCTGCATATTCCTCTGCTCGTTCTCTTAACCTCAATAGATTATTTGCTGATGCACTTAGTATAATGATCTATATGTTGTCAAAATCATACAAAAAGAAGTTAATGCCCAAAGGAAGCTTCTATTAGAAAGATTCAACGTAAACTTAGTGGTTATATAGAAAAACAATATCTTCTCATTGGTAGTTAGAACACTTCCTTAAATTAAGAAAAGATACTACAAGGTCAATCAAATATTATGCAGAAAAAACAATTGCAACTTATGTTTTCTATTCTTGCATTAATTGGTTTAGAAAGAATACATAAGATGTAATCATATCAAGACCAACATAACCAACTAAAAAATTCAGCAAGAGGGATAATACAATACTAAAAATATAAGATAATGGCACTCATGTAAGATTCATTAGTTATACGTAGTCAATGCTGATTAGAATACTAAATAAGTCACCTCTTTTACTTCATTCTCTGTGATTCGACCATCTCCATTTTTAACCCTGCAATTTTCAAGAAAACAAATCAAGAACTTAACTACATGTTGAAGAAGTGTATCAGTATATTAATTAAATGATCAATACATGTCGAAGAAGATTTGGAGACGAGAATCGAAGCTTTCGTCAGTAATTTGGTACCAAAACTCATATAGTTCTTGAAGATTGATCTTATCAACCATTAATCTTCTTCTCCTACACATTGCGTCGAACAACTCATCTGCGAATTCTTTCGAATTTTCATTCTCCAAACCTTTCAAACACAAAACAACCAAATGTCAAACTAATCAATCAATATACTCATCAGAAATGTGAAATAATGTCGAACCTATGCAATTAGCAAAATCACTTCGACAAAGATAACCATCTTTAGAAAGATTAGCGAAATTGTTTTGAACATCTCTCCAATTAGCGATTCGATTGTCTTTGCTGCTTATGAATTTCAAAGCATTAATCGCTCTCTCTGTACACGATCCATTAGACTTTGTTAATCGTTGTGTTAAAGAGCGACAGAGAACAGCAGGATCCGTAAAATCTACTACATTAGGAACCACCGGCTCCGGTGCAGACCGAGACGAATATCCCAATGAGATCCTTTGAAGCTTTTCTTTCAGATCTCTAGAGAACTTTTTCGCCTTCTCCACCGTATGAAACTCTGAGATCCGACGACTCGACGACGCGCTCCATCCGAAACTATGCGATTTTGATCCTGAATCAGAAGCAGAGCAAGAGGTAATCTCTGGATCGGTGCTGGTAACAGATTCGATGT